TTTGCGCCTCTCCTGGAACTCACTTGGTAGCCCAGGCTGGCCTTGAACTCACAGAGATCCACCTGGCTCTGCCTCCCAAGTGCTGGGATTAAAGGCGTGCACCGCCACCGCCCAGCACCCACTCCCTTTTGACGTGTATCGGTAGGTACACTGGTATGGTATGAAAATAACTCATCTGGAGGTCAAGTCCAAGGGGGTTAACATAAATCCAGGGACACTAAACTTAATAGAGAGACTCTGAGATACCACCTTACACCAACGTCAATGTTGGAGAGGATGCGGAGCCAAGGGAACACTCCTCCTCCTCCACTGCTGGTGGGGATGCAAACTTGTACAACCGCCCTGGAAATCAGTATGATGATATTTCAGAAAATTGGGAATAGATCTACCTCAAGATCCAGCCATACCACTCTTGGGCATATACCCAAGGAATACTCAATCATACAAAGACACACGCTCAACTATGTAACTCATCTGGTGGTCAGCAGCTCCTTCCACATATCATATCAATGTTAGGATTAGGAAGAGGGGGCTTCACAGCTGATATGGTTATGGGATTTTAAAGCACTTCATCTCTGCCTGGCCAAGCATTTCCTTGGGGAGGAGGAGGAGGAGGAGGAGGAGGAGGAGATGAAAAACCAAACCGGTGGGAGCAACCGAACCTCTCTATGTCTGTAGGCATTTCATAACCAGTCTCGGAGAGACTGTCTCCACTCCAATGAAATTAAAAGTCAACAAACAACCGGGAACTTTTCATTCGTTGATTTATTTATTTATTTATTTATTTATTTATTTATTTATTTATTTATTTATTTAAGTATACCGTGGAAGAGGGCATGGGTTGGAGGGGAAAAGATGTCTTCCTAAATTTCTTCTTTTGTAGGTGTGGGATTCGTGACTTGGGGAAGGACGGCAGTTGCAGTCAATCCAGACTGGCAGGTGGATGGTGGATCCAGCCTGGATATAGGGCAGAAGAACATAAATGAAGTGAATTGTTTTATTCGAACAAACATCCAGTACCCTCCTCACCATCCTCACCACAATGCTCCACTCTCCCACCACCCCATCTGTTGTGTGTGTGTGTGTGTGTGTGTGCGCGCTTCCGTCCATTCATCCATGCATCCATGCATCCATGCATCCTGCCAGCCCGCCCGCCCGCCAGCCAGCCAGCCAGCCAGCCAGCCTGAACGATACATCAAATAGAAAGTCAGAAGATGCTTTGCAGCTGCAGCTAGATGTGTTGACACTCACCTTTAATCCAGCAAGATTGAGTGAGTGATTTGGAGGCCAGCCTGTTCTTTGCGAGTTATGTGTTTCCAGGACAGGGCTAGATAACATAAAATAAGATAATATAAAAATCGGACAGCTGAGGAATGTGTGTGCGCAAGAGAGGCGCGCGCGCATGCACACACGCGAACACACACACACACACACACACACACACACACACACGAAAAAATAAAGGCAGTGGAAGGCTGTTTGACTTGTTACAAATTGAAAAGTAAATACACAATAAAATAAAGTAAATAAACAATAAAGTAAAAAACAATTGAAAAGTAAATAAATAAAATAAAATAATGAAAAAATTGAATGCATAGATACTATATATACATAAGCATAATATATAAATATATGGAAGATATAATTTTCGGAAAGGCCAACTGGTCAACCTCCTTTTAAACAATTAAAAAAAAAAAAATCGGGGCTGGAGAGATGGCTCAGAGGTTAAGAGCACTGACTGTTCTTCCAAAGGTCCTGGTGGCTCACAGCCATCTGTAAGGAGATCTGGCGCCCTCTTATGGCCTGAAGTCATACATAAGAAAGAAATCTTTAAAAAAATAAATAAATAAAACTAAATTCACAATCACTACACAACTGTCCAACCGGTCAACCTCATAAATAATAAAATATATATAAAAAAATAAAAAATAAAAAAAAGAAAGAAAGAAAGAAAGAAAAGAAAAAAACGTAAAATAAATTGCCGACTTCAACCAACCTCACTGTCACTGCGTAGGAATGGTTGGCACATACGTACGTACGTACATACATACATACATACATAAGGAAAAACAGGAAAGGCCAACTGGTCAACCTCCTTTTTAAATAAATTTAAAAAAAAAAGAAAGAAAGAAAAAGAAAAAATTTTCTTTTTAAATATCTATCTATCTATCTATCCATCTATGCATCTATCTGCAATAAATTTTTATTTAAAAAAGTCCAGCATAGATAGATAGATAGATAAATAGATATAAATATATAAATAAATAAATAAATAAATAAATAAGCTGACTAATCTCAACCTCACTGCATAGGTACATACATTCATACATACATACAGGAAAACAGGCCATAATACAGGAAAAGGCCAACTGGTCAACCTCCTTTTTAAATTAAAAAAAAAAACAGAAATAAGGGGCCACTGTGAGTTTTATTTTTAAATATATATATATATACCTCTACCCTCTCATCCACATACATAAGGAACCGAACCTAGGACCTCCACAATTACACTCACTGCTCTTAACCCCTGAGCTATTTCTCCTCCTGCTCTTTTCCTTAGTCTTTTTTGCTTTTCTCTCTTCAGCCCAGAAGTCTCCTATTGATTCTCTCTGCCTGACAGACACACCCTTCCTTCTCTGCCTACTTATTGGCCCTTCACCTCTTCACTCATTAGGTGCTTAGGCCGGCAGAGCCAAACAGATGCTGCTCATCTTTATGTAATTATACACACATCCTGTCATCATTAAACAAATGCAGCATCAACAAAGGTAACATGCTTTTACACAGTTAAAAGTATCCATCTACAGCATAAACAAATGGAAATACATCTTTGCCTAGGTAAAATAATGTTCTACAACAATCATTTTGTGATGTCATTTGCAAATATACATGCAGAGACACATAAAGTACGATTGAAAATTATGTAAAACCAAAGCAGTAATTTCCGACGCTCCATTGCAATAGAAGTGCAAACCATCTACCAAAATGTTAGCAGAGGTCATGTGGGGGAAAAGAATTGTGAGTAATTTTCTTTCTCCCCCCCCTCACATTTTCCACATTGTCTATACACAAGCTTATTAATAGTTATTGTTCTGAGGTCAGCCTTGTCTCACCTTTCCAGCCCCCTCCAAAAAAAGGTCTGTGTCTGGGTGCTAAGCTTTAATCATATACTGTACATAGGTACAGGAGGAGGGGGAGAAGGAAGGGGAGGACAAAGTTGAGGGGGAGGAGGAGAAGGGGAGGACGGAAGGCAGAAGAGGAATGGAGGATGGGGAGGAGAGAGAGGAAAAGGTGGGGAGATGGGGAGAAGGGGATTGGCAGCAGCAGCAGTGTGTCTTCCACTTGTAATCCCTGCACTGAGAGGTAGTGACAGGCGCATCCCTGGAGCCTGGGGGCCATTGTGACTAGCCTACTTGGTGACTTATAGGCCAGCAAGAGACCCTGAGAGAAGAGAGAAAGGAAGGGAAGGAACGAGGGAGGTAGGGAGGGAGGCAGGGAGTGATGAGAGGGGAAGAAATGTAAGGGAGAAAAGAAGGGAAGGGAAGGGTGGAGGAAGGCTGGATGACACCTCAAGACTGACATGTGACATCTGAGGTATTCCTCTGGTCTCTGTGAGCACTCACACATCTGCACACTCACACATCTGCACACTCACACATCTGCACACTCACACACATGCACACTCACACATCTACACACTCACACACGTACACTCACACACACAATCACACTTCTGCACACTCACACATCTGCACACTCACACATCTGCACACTCACACATCTGCACATCCTGAGTAGCGGAGGTCTTTGGCACAGAAGCATGGTTGTCAGGCTTCTTAGCTGAAAACAAGAAAATAATCTAATTCTACTTAGATAAGTCATATGCACACCATGAATCCATCATCTAGGTAGGCTAGACTTTGTTAAAGTCATTCCCAAATCTTTTTTGATTTAATTTACATTAATTTGACTTAACTTACATCTACCACTTGCTCATGGGGCCTACTAGGGGCCTGGGTGACTCTCCAGGACAAAGAAACTCTGTGCCCTAGCTCGGTATTCTGAGTTTGGGCACCACAATTCCAGGTCCAAGAGGTAAAAATAAGATCTGGCAAAATGATAAGCTTTCCACTGCCTCCACCAACATGGCCTTACACTATGAAATGGCTGCAAAACGGTGTTTTCCACGAATAAAATGAGGACATTGCTGGCAGTACTATTGCCTACTGTATGGAGAACAGTAAACTACCCAGCCATTTCTCTACTTGCCTGCCCGCTTACCTATCCACATATAAACAAGTCTTGGCAAACAAACAAATAGGCATTCATTTTATTAACATTTGGGGAAGGATCCAGGTAGTCAGAACACTAAAAGGATTTCTTTTGTGACTTGCTCGTGAACACCAATTAAACTTAATTGTAATATGCCTACAAACGCAAGACTTATTAAACCAATCCAATAAATTAGGAAGGGCATGAGAATGTTAACAGTCCATGATTGCCAGCCTGCTGCGTTCAGCTGTGCCGCGGCAGGTGGCGCTAACACTGTTGTATATCGGTATCTATTTTGGTTGGAATGCCTCGGCAGGTGTGTTAATGGGATTGTGTGCTTGTATTCTGGTTGGATGGCTTTGTCTTTGGAGCCCTGTAAACAGCCCTTTCCTTTCTTCGATTCAAGGATGCATGCAGTGGCTTCTCAGAGCCTTTTCTGCCCAGTCTCTGAGTCTTTTTCTGCCTTCTAGTCAGGTCGCTTATTCGGGCAAAGGACGTATGAACCAGTCCGCAGATTCCAACTCTCACGGGGTGCCTTGCCTTATTTAAACTTCCTAAGAGGTCTGTGAGTTAGGGGTTTATAATATATTACTTACTAGGATGTGAAATTTAATTCATTTTAGAAAGGGCACTTGGTTCCTCAGGCTGGGTCATCTGCCCACTGCCACAAGGAGGGAGACTCGGTTAGAATTCAAAGTAGTTGCTATTAGTGGCAGGCCTTTTTCATAGTACTTTGATCCTGGTCAGAATTCTCTGACTAGGGCATCACAGGGACATCTATTTTCTCTGCAATGGAGTCTGTTGTGACTCCACAGCATACAAATGGGCCGAGAAAAAAATGATAAAGGGACCAGACAACTTCTGACAAAAAAAAAAAAAACCAAGGTGGTTTTCTCACTCCGCCCGCCCATCACGCCAGTGCTTGTCGTCACGAGGGTCCCTATTGACATTCACTCGAGAAGCCACTCAGTTCTTGGTGTCCCTCTCCTTGCTTCC